AATGCACTGTGCAAGATAAATTTTTTTACAATAGAAATGTCCTTCGGTGTCTCTGCTTATAGCTGTGTTGCCATTTCAATTGACCGGTATTTTGCCGTAGCCTATCCATTAAAGAGACCTTTCCAGAACAAGATGAAACAGGTCATTGCAGTTATTTGGATTGTTGCAGCCATAGTCTGTTCACCAAACATGTATTTTCGAACCACACTTCAATTAGACAACTTAGTGAAATGTCTTGGCAAGAACCGGTCATCACACCTATCTTACTTGTATACATGGCAAGGTTTGACCAGTATTTTGCCTATGGTGGTCATCACAATCACCTACACTTTCACCATCTGCAAACTTTATCATCGCAAAGTACCAGGATTGGTAACATCAGAACGAAGAAGAAGAAGAGAGCAGCAGAATAAAAAAGTGTTAAAACATGCTGTGACAATTGTGGTTTTGCTTTATCTTTGTCATGGTTTTCGGTTCACTATTCATATGTTGTATTCTCAAGGAAAGTTGGGCCATCTCTCGGTCTCATTGTATAATAATTTGAGGTATGCCTCATTTTTCATTTTCTTCGTCAGTCTCGTGTATAACTTCTTCATCTACCTCATCTTCAATGATATTTACCGTGAGAATATCAAAGCTCTGATACCCAAGTGTTGCTGTCGATACGATGCTAGCATGAGGCAGGAAAGACCAGGTGDAGGGGAAATGATAGAAATGAGCGAACTCAATTAAAGACAAGAAAAATAAAAATAAAGAATAAAACAATAGAATACAAAGTAATTCATCGAAAAGAGAAAGAAACACTGCACATAAAGAGCAATAAATATATTGATGTACCTTCAAGCTAATTTTGTTGGTTTGTGAAAAACCGCTCAAAATCAAATCTAACAAGTACTTAAAAAGTATGATATTTCTTCACTAATGATTTTGACAGAACACTCAGTCGTGAACTATAACATGCAAGGTCCATGGATTAAACTCATGTTAGTATCTTATTGAACTGGCAGACCCTGTATGTCCACAACCAGCTGCTTACTGAATTGTATAGAAACAATAAGACGGTATAAGGGTTAAAGACTGAAATAATCCTGGCACTAGATTATAAACTAACTCATGAACACATACAAATTATGAGTTATAAAATAGTAATATTATACATTAGAAAATATGTTCAATAGATATCTGACAATGCTGTAAGAACGATCTCGTGTATTTAGTATTGATATAGCTGATTGGTCAGCAATATTATTACAAGTATATTYTTAATCAAAATGCCTTGCACCATAGAATAATTTAAAAGCAGTYTCTCTTTTATTTTCTTTA